TTCTATGTTAGTCATTTGCTATTGCTTATAAATAGCACATTGTAACTCTTGTAAAAGAAAGCTTCCAGAATCAGTAATACAATAGAGGTATATTCAGAGAATTGCCTGTGCATTTGTGTTTGTGAGCACCAGTTATAGGGCCTGTGAAATAACAAATTGGTATCAGAGCTTGAGCCAATGGAGGTTGTGACCAGTAATATGTCGTTGCCTCATCTAACGAAGGTAAACTATGAGAATTGGAGCATCCAAATGAAAGCTCTTCTTGGATCCCAAGATAGTTGTGAGGTAGTTCAAGAAGGTTTTGAAGAACCGACAACTACTGCAGGATATACGGCGGCTCAAAATAAGGCGTTGAAAGAGACGCGATCAAAAGACAAGGCAGCATTGTACATGTTGTTCCAAGCTGTTGACGAGTCAGGCTTTGAGAAGATTGCGAGTGCTGCAACTTCAAAAGAAGCGTGGGACATTTTTGGCAGATGCCCGCAAAGGCGCGGACCGTGTGAAGCAGTTCAGACTTCAAACTCTTCGAGGAGAGTTGGAGGGGATGAAGATAAAGGAAACCGAAGGAGTGTCGGACTTCATCACCAGGTTCAGACCGTGGTGAACCAGTTGAAACACAATGGAGAGGTGTTGACCGACTCCAGAGTTGTTGAAAAGATTTTGAGGTTGTTGACAGACGACTTCGAAAATGTGGTATGTGCAATTGAGGAGTCTAAGGACTTGGCTACGCTTTCTATTGAAGAGCTAGCTAGTTCTCTTGAAGCACATGAGCAGCGCTAAAAGAAAAAGAAGGAGGAACCTCTTGAGCAAGCATTCCAGACAAAAGCAAAAATTAAGGACGAAAAGGTGTTGTACTCTCAGAATGTCCGAGGTAGAGGTCGTGGACGAGGTGGACGTGGAAATGGCCGAGGTGGTCGTGGCCGAGGTCAGGAGGTGAAACATGAAGAAAGAGCTGAGACGAGTTAGCAAAACTAGAGAGGTAGAGGACGTGGCCGAGGTGGAAGAGGCCGGTGGTTAAATCAAAGTAATATAAAATGTTATAAGTGTGGCAAGTATGGTCACTACTCAAAAGATTGCAACTCGGACAAATGCTATAACTGTGGCCGAGTTGGGCATTTTTCTAAAGATTGCGGAGATGAAAGAAGAGTAGACGAGACTTCAAACTTCGCTGCAGAAGGAGAAATAAGAGATGGAGGAGTTATGATGTTAGCACATGGTGAAACTAGCTCGAAGAGTGAGACGGAGTGGTACTTGGATACTGGTGCCAGTAATCACATGTGTGGTTACAAACATTTGTTCAAAGAGTTGAGAACGATGGAAGGGGACATGTCTCCTTTGGAGACGCATCCAAAATTGATGTGAAAGGTCATGGTACGATCTGTTTTCTCCAAAAGGATGGACAGGTTGGAACAATTCGAGATGTCTACTATGTGCCCGAGCTCAGAAGTAACATTTTGAGCATTGGACAGTTGCTGGAGAAAGGTTACTTGGTTCTAATGACAGACCGAGTTCTACTATTGAAAGATAAACAAGGGCGTCTGATAGCCCGAGTTCAGATGGAAAAGAACATAATGTATAAGCTGAGTTTGAGGAGCGTGGAGGTCGGCTGTCTGCAAGCCGAGGTGGAGGATAAGATGTCTCTGTGGCATCGACGGTTTGGACACCTTCATTACGGTGGTCTAGCCGAGCTGATGAAGAAGAACATGGTAGTGGGACTGCCAAAGATAAATTCTGAAAGTAAGTTCTGTGAAGACTGTGTGCTGGGCAAGCACGCAAGAAGCCCGTTCCAAAGGATAGCAAGACTGTGTGCTTTGGAGTTGATACATACCGACCTGTGTGGACCTATAGCTCCGGGGTCCTTCAGTGGAAAGAGATATTTTGTTTCGTTTATTGATGATCTTAGTCGTAAGACTTAGGTATATTTTCTGAAGGAGAAGTCCAAGGTGCTAGAGGCCTTTAAGAGGTTTAAAGTGATGATAGAAAATGCAACCGGGAGATACATCAAGTCGGTCTGTTCTGACCAAGGTGGCGAGTACGTTTCAACATCCTTTAAAAGGTATTGTGAAGAACACGGGATAAGGCAGTTTCTGACTGCGCCATACACACCACAGCAAAACGGAGTTGCTGAAAGAAATAACCGGACTATCTTGGATATGGTGCGTTCTATGTTAAAGACTAAAAATATGCCTAAAGAGTTTTGGGGAGAAGCCGTACAATGTGCTGTGTACGTGCAGAATAGATGTCCGCATTCAAGTGTGAATGATAAAACTCCACAGGAAGCATGGAGTGGTCTAAAGCCATCAGTGGCTCATTTCAAGATTTTTGGTAGTGTTGCGTATGCACACATACCGGCCCAGCTCAGAACGAAGCTTGAAGATAAGGGTAAGAAGTTTGTGTTTATTGGATATGATGAGAAGACGAAGGGGTACAAGTTGTTGGATCCCATCAATAAAAGGGTGTTGGTAAGCCGAGATGTGAAAGTGAATGAAAAAGATGAATGGGACTGGAATAGTACATCCGGGGTCAATGTGGAACCCGAAAATATATCAATTGAGGTCGGACAACCTTCGACCCATATCCTGGAAAATCCTGAAGTCTCTGATGATGAAGAAGAGCAGAGACAACCAAGAATGAGAAGCTTGCAAGACTTGTATGACTCAACTAACGAAGCACATCTCGTTTGCTTGTTAGCAGATTCTGAGGATTAGAACTTTGAGGAAGCTGTCCGAAATGAAAAATGGAAATCTGCCATAGAAGAAGAGATAAAATCTATTGAGCGGAATAAGACATGGGAGTTAGCTGAGAACCAAAAGGAAGTCGGCCCATCGGTGTAAAACGGGTATATAAGAAGAAAATGAATGCTAAAGGGGAGATTGAGCGATTCAAAGCCCCGCTAGTAGCAAAGGGGTACAAGCAGAAAGCTGGAATAGACTATGACGAGGTGTTTGCACCGATAGTGAGGATGGAGACAATCATGTTGTTGATCTCACATACAGCCCAACTTGGATGGCCGATCTATCAGATGGATGTGAAATCGGAGTTATGAAACGGTGTACTTGAGGAGGAGGTATATCTCTAACAACCTCCGGATTTCATGAAAGTCGGACAAGAAAGAAAAGTGTTAAGGCTGAAGAAGGCGTTTATAGGCTGAAGCAGGCACCACGGGCTTGGAATACCCGTATTGACTCTTATTTCAAGAAGGACGGTGATAAACCCTTAGTTTACCATATTTTTAGGCTTAATTATGATTGATATATGTTGTGAATTGCATGGAAATAAGGGTTTTATACTATAAAGTTACAGTAATTTAATATCTTGCTAACATGTTGTCGTAATGCTCATTTGCAAGGGTTTTTGACACCTATTATGGCATTTTGGAACCAAAAGAAGACATCAAGTTGAGTTGAAGCCTCAAGAAAGTAAGATTCCAAGTGTGTACCAGCTGAAGGAGGACGTTTTGGCGTCCATGAATCATGTTTAAACGCACAAAAGAAGAAAACAACCATTACTCCCTGGAGGAGAGCGTTTTGGCGCACAAACAGCACGCCAAAACGCCCATGAAGCAACCAGAACCCTTCGAAGAGCACGTTTTGGCGTGCTACTGGTCGCCAAAACGTTGGGAGGCAGACAAGAATACACATCAAGTACGTTTTAGCGCACAAACAGCACGCTAAAACGTCCAAGCACGGCCAAAGCAACTCCAGGAAAGATTTGATCAAGATATGCAAGCTGATTTCATAAAGATACAAAGAGGAAACACGTCAACCTTGATTAAAATAAGATATAAATCCAATGGGAAGATGTGATGGGAGATACAACAAAGATTTGAAGCTTTAAATCGTCAACCAATCTCCAAGATATAAAACGAAAAAAGGAAACAAAGAGAAAATCAAATACAAAGCTGATATGGATTCATTGGGAGATTTAATGACAGATACAACTCCTATGGTTATAAATAAGGAGCTTGGGAGCAAACCAAAAAAAACACATTCAGAAACCAATTTTCATAGACCAATTCAGAACGCGAAGCTTGAAGGAGGAATCCTGTTGCGGAGCGCTGGAACACTGAGGAACCAAGTCAACATCACACCAATGGAGGCTTGTGGTTCTCTTTTCTTTATTATTATTTTTCAATTCAGTATGCTTGAATAGTCTTTTATGTAGTTAAGGATAGATGGAACCCAATTGAATCTTTATGTTTATGAATTAAATTGTCTCTGAATCCTTTCTTTTTATAGTTGAATAAATTTATCTGCTTTCAATGCTTTCTATGAGTTTTCTCCTTATAGAATGGTTTTGGGGAATTGTATGACAATAGGGATGTTGGTGCATGAACCTTTACATGGTAAATTTATCATAATCCTTGTGATCTAGGGATAGACATAGGGTAATTATACAATCTTGTAATTCTTGATCTTAGGGCATGTTTTCTTGGGGAATAATCGGGGAACTAGAGTTCTTTCAAGATCACATAGATTTAGGGTAACAAGGAATTGAGCCCTAATTAACTTAGATAGAATTGATTGGCAATATATTAAGAAAACGTTCTTGATAGTTTAATTCATAACATATTGAGGAGATTGGGGGAAGTCGAAACCTTAACTACGCTTCTCTTAAATTCTTAAATCCATCATCATCTTTTCAATTACTCTTTTAAGTCTGAATTTTCTTTAATTGCATGTTCTTATTTGTTTTTAATTTTGATTGTTTCTCAAAAACACAATTCTCTTCATCTCAACTTTTGATTGTCCAACTAAGACGCGATTAGCGAATTAGTGCTTGAAATTCTGATCCTCGTGGGAACGATCTCGTACTCAGTACACTTTATTACTTTTACGACCGGTGCTCTTGCCGAAGTCGCTATCAGACGGATTTGAGCAATGTCCATGTGAACATGCCCTGTATGTGAAGAAGAAAGAAGGTAATATTTTACTAGTTGCTTTATATGTTGATGATCTAATCCTTTTGATGAAGGGATGATACAAGACTTCAAGAAAAAAATGACAAAAGAGTTCGAGATGAAGGATCTCGGTCTGATGAGATACTTCCTTGGTCTGGAAGTCAGACAAGACAAATCCGGGATCTTCGTATCTCAAGAAGCTTATGCAAAAGATATCCTGAAGAGGTTCAAAATGATAGATTGCAATCCGGTTTCAACTCCTATGGAACCCGGCTTAAAACTTTCGAAGTATGATGGAGAAGAAAGAGTTGATCCGAGTAATTACCGGAGTCTAGTAGGATGTTTGAGGTATTTAACTTGTACGAGGCCAGACTTGTGTCTAAGTGTTGGGATTATAAGTTGTTTCATGGAAGATCCGGGCTACACACATTGGAAGGCAGCAAAAAGGATATTGAGATATGTTCAAGGAACAATCTCGCAAGGACTTTATTATTCGAAGTCAGACAAGTACAAGCTGGTGGGATATTCAGATAGCGACTGGTGCAGAGATGTTGATAACAGGAAGAGCATGGTTGGCTATGTGTTTTTCATGGGAAACACAACATTCACATGGGTGTCAAAGAAGGAACCCACTGTGGCTTTATCTACATGCGAAGCCGAGTACGTTGATGCATCCTGGTGCGTTTGTCACACAATGTGGTGAGGAATCTATTGAGTAAATTGGAGCAAGAACAAGTTGACCCAACCGAGATTCGGATTGACAATAAGTCTGCAATCGAGTTAGCAAAGAACCCGGTCAACCATGAGAGGAGTAAGCATATAGATGTCAGGTTTCATTTCATCCGGGATCAAGTCAAGGAAGGAAAGGTGGAGCTCACTCATGTTGCAAGCCGAGATCAAGTGGGTGACATATTTACGAAGTCGTTGCCAACGTTGCTGTTAGAAAATTTCAAGAAAAGGATTGGCATGAAGGATGGTCGAAGAATTTAAAGCTTATGGGGGAGTTTTGTTGTGATAAGTTTTAAATTAAATAAAAGAAAATAGAAAATGAAAGGTTTATGGTAAAGAGGTGTGTCCCTAGGTATCTATTATTGGACAATTAATATGCTTAGTTTATGGTGAAGAGGTGTGTCCCTAGGTATTTGTTAGTGGACAATTAATATGTTTGGATTTCCTATGTTAGTCATTTGCTATTGCTTATAAATAGCACATTGTAACTCTTGTAAAAGAGAGCTTCCAGAATCAGTAATACAATAGAGGTATATTCAGAGAATTGCCTGTGTATTTGTGTGTGTGAGCACCAGTTATAGGGCATGTGAGATAACATATATTTGGCTCCAGAAGCCAGAACACTTGTTATCATCATCTTTCTCAACTTCGATGGTTTATTCAAATTTGAACTTTGCTATAAGAAATTTATTCAAATAATGACACTTCCTCATATAGAAGATATATTAACTCTTAGGGAGTGTTTGGTAGAGGATAAATTTTTTTTTACAAGGGAAATCTAATAACCGAAGAAATGGTAAGAAAGTCAGTTTGATGGGAAAGTTTAAAAAAAGATGTTTGGTTGACTGAAATATTACCAGGAAAATTTATTTAAATTTACAAAATTTATGTTCAGAAGAAACTTCGCACCTATTTTTTCACTTCCCCAGTTATCTCAAAATACCACATCTCAAGTGGTATTTTGTAACAGTGAATTTCATCTAAAAGTTAACACAAAAGTCATTTCCCCATCCACCCTATTTGTCTAGTATTTTTTTTAAAAACCTGAACCAAACGTGATATTTTCCAATATTCACTTACACTTTTTCATCAATATCAAAATAAAACTACTACCAAACACTACCTTAGTGGGAAAGGCACCAACCACGAAATGTCCCAAAACAACTGTAAACATAATGCATATCGCTACTCTTATTATTAAATCACGAATGACACAGGATAACACGTAATGGTGACAAACATGGAGACCGAGTGGCAGACTGACACAGAGAGTTCACACTGACATAATAGTTTTGCTCTAATTCATGGCATCTGTCACCGTTTCCTCGTCCCTTCAGGTTTTCCCAAAGCTTTCCAGCATTTATTTCTACATTGACTTTTGATTTTGCATCATGAGCGTGTGTCTCAGATAGTTTACCTTAGCTGCTAGCATTACACCGTTTCTTTCTCCTCTCTTTATTCATGTATTTGTTTCTCTTTTGTGAGAAGATACACAAGCACCTATTTTAGCACCTTATTTTGCTGGTTTTGTTTTTCTCTTCCTTTAGACAGAGAGAATGGGAAACAGAGAGAGAGAGAAGCAGAGGCAAAGAGCATGAGAACTGTGAAGGAATGGTTCATGTCTTCACAGGCTTTACTGAGCATGTTACTTGTGCAAATTTTTGCAACTGGGATGCAGCTGCTATCAAGGGTTATATTAGTTCAGGGTACTTTCATCTTTGCACTCATTACATATCGTCATGTTGTTTCTGCCATTTGTGTTGCCCCCTTTGCACTCTACTTTGAAAGGTAAGCTTTTGCGTTCTATTGACTAGTTGCTTTGTTCTTAGTTCCACATTTTTTGTTGAACTTCACTTTCCCCAATTTTTCTTTATGTTTAATGTTTGGTTGTTTTTCAGTTTTCACCAACCCTTTTGTTTGTTCTGTTGAATGATATTGGTTGTGGTTGCAGAGGCCGCACAAAGAAGTTCAGTTGGAGAGTTTTGTTTTGGATCTTTGTTAACGCATTAGCGGTAGCGGTGTAACTTGTAAGCATTCTTTGGTTCATCTTGGAAAGTGGAATAGTGAGCTTTTTCTTTCATGAGCGTAAAGTGATAAATGACAAAAAAGAGTTTTTGCTATTAAATACCCTCTTTCAAAATGAACTTCTTGTGATGTGAACAAACAAAGCAAGATAAATAAACATCCGGAGCATCGGATAGGACATCATGCAATAATTTTTAACTATATATTTATGGGAGTACATATTTAAAATATTAAATTTTTTTTTTTCTATCTTCCATATCAACAATTTTAATATTTTAACTATGTATTTCTGAAAATATATAATTAAAAAAATAATTGAATGACCAAAATTTCATTCCTAAAACATGACAAACTGATTTCCCATAAACATTTCTTGCAATTTTTAAGTGTCTGTAGTCAACAAATACTGTTAGACGTGAAAGTTTCATACGTAAAAATCCTTAGTCCACGAAAATTATGATCATTGAATGTAACCTGTTATGTGGGCCCCTATTATAAACATTGGAGAAGTTCTCCTCTTGCTGGTCCATCTATCACTTACGGCATGTTTGGTGCGATGTTTAAAGCATGATAATATAAAGTTATATTATACGTTATGATATTTTTAGTTGTTTGATGTGATCATCGTATACTATAAGCTTATACAGCAGAATCCCTTAATACATCAAAATGATGTATAACTTAATCCGACCTAAGAGAAGGATAAGACCTGATAAGAGGATGTGTGTATTAACATTGTTGACCGGTGCAATTCTCAAAAATTAATATATTATTTTAATATTAATATATTAAAATAAAAATTAATTTTTCAATATATTAATTTTTAAAATATTTAATATTTTTATTTTTATAAAAATTTATTTATGTTTTGGACACACTGATCACTAAATTTTTACAAAAATTAATATCATATGATATTTTTTGAAGAATTATATAAATTCTTTATTAAAAGATATTTTTATTAAAAATATTTATTTTTATCTTATATAGTATTATACAGTGCATTACTAAATATTAGATGACATTATCTTATACAATATATTATTTTATGCAATACTGTGTCAAACGCTGGATAGTATTAAAATTCAATCAGGTCTTATATAATCAGGTCTTATACTATCAATTTTTATTTTATACTATGCACCAAACATGACCTTGTAGAACAATTATTTGTGACGTTTATTTTCGAAGTTTATTAGCCTTCAACTAAACCGATCGTGCATTCTATGAATTATATTGGGTACATTGGGCAGGGAGAATCCGAGCTTGTGGTTTAACGTGTTTGGTTTGGATGTGCTGGGAAGAAAAATTGGTGGCGCTTTCAATTTGGAAAGTATGGAAATTACAAAAAAAATTTGCACAAATCAAGTTGTTTGCATGCAGTGGTCCTGTTTGGTGTGAAGTGCGCTATCAGTTTTTATAATTATTTTTAGGGAAAACATTTTCTCATGTTGCATGATATTTCAATTCTCATGTTGTGACCCTTCGATTTGCGTGCAAAATTTTTCTTTTCTTTTTCTTTTTTAATAAATATGGAACCCACCACTAGTTGAGTCACAACGTAAAAATTCAATTCTCATGCAACATGAAAATCAAATCCCTTATTTTTAATGGAACCCTACTTAGGTTTGCGTCCAAAGTTAATCTCCTTTCTACACTTTTAGCAAATCTTTTCCTTTTTGTGCTGAAAAGTGAAAACAACCAATAAATATTATTTATGCTTTTTAGATAGTTAGACCAAAATAACGTAGAGAATAAATGCGCCCGTTTATCCGCAACATTGCATATTTAAAAGCAGTGTTATTAAACTCGATCCGGACATCGACCTGATTGGAGTACTGCGTTATTGGGTCACTGATCAGACCGTTGGATCACTGGTCGGACCGGTTGACCCAGATATATATAGATATATAAAAATATATATAATATGAATATATAAATTCAATTATATTTTTCATATCTAAAATAAATTAAACAAGATTCATTAAATAAGTTAAAAAATATGAAGCATAAATAAATAAAAATACATGTTATTACTATATCAATTTAAATTGCAGCTCAAAATCCTCCTAAACATACCTCTCAATGATATTGTACTCATATTTTTCAAATTCAACTACATAAAAAAAGACATATGTCACAATATCTTAATTTATTATTCCACAAATTGCTTCAGTATTGGAAGCTAAAATTTGAGGTCATTGTAGAAAAGTATACTAGCAAATAAGATTACAAAAAAAAATTAAAATGAATTCTACATTTTTTTTTGACAAGATAAAATAATTTTGTTTTTTTTTTTAAATACATGACCAGACCAGGTCACTGGGTCACCGAGTTTGACCGGTTTTGTCCGGATTTGACCGGGTCGATGCATGACCGGTCCAATGCATGATCCAAACCGGTCCGATGACCGGGTCACCGGATTCCGGGTCGACCCGCCCGGGCCAGGTTTTACAACACTTAAAAGTGTTTTTAACTAAATAAAAACACTTGGGTATTTCTTGTAGCGCTGAATTACTAACAACCAAATTTGCGGTTATGCTGCAATTGTTTATTTTACTGGTGGATGGTAAATGGTAATAGCTATTTGGATTTTGGAGCCTTTCCTCACCGCAAAAATTGAAGAAGAAATTAATAATTAGATTATTTTCCCTTTTAATGTTGCTCATAGTTTCAATATCAATTTGTCAGACACTTGTGTTTGTCCCTTTCTTTTAACCCCTAGGATAGAAACGGAACCCTCTCCCTAAGCCATCATGTGAATTTGAAAGAAAATGCCAATTACTGAATATTACATACAGCTGGAAATGTATATCATCAGCAAGAACAACTTTATATGAGTCAAGTAGTTTGTCTTCATTTTTCTTTCAGTCATCAAATAGAGTTCAATACTTAATTTCCTGTATAGTTGTGATATCAACACTACTGAAGTAGCAGCATTATTTATTTTGAAATGCTTAATCCATGCTAACGCTCACATGCTCTGTTGCTTTTAACTTTTTATATATATGCATATAATTGTTACAAGTTATAGAGTGACATATATATATATATATATATATATATATATATATATATATATATATATATATATAATGGAAATAGATCCTCTCGCGTGTAAGTTAACATGATCATGCCATGTGGGAGGATCTTAACCATTAATAATTAAATCAATGGTAATGATTGTGTAACTTTTTATCCTTATATTTTTTCTCTTTCCTCCCTTATCACCATTAACTCACTCATATATGGTTATGATTATTCTACATGACATGGTGATATTAATTAGCACACGAGAGAATCTACTCCCATATACAATAATGATGGCTTGTCCTGTTCGGTTTTAAAAATGTGATGTCATCAATTACAGGATGACTATGGCTCTAGGATTGTTCTATTATGGTCTGCGAGACACTTCAGCTACTTACTCTGTCAACTTTCTCAATTTGGTTCCTATATGCACTTTCTTTACCTCTATTACTAGTGACTTACCCGTGCGATGCTCGGGAGAAAGAGAATAAAATATTTGTCGTTCGTCGTGGTTGGTTAATCGCACTCAAACCTTATACTTACAAAAACTCGTGTTGCTATCTTGTTTCATATTTCAGATGGAAAAAAACTACAGCATTGACATAGAATTTTACAAATATCAATCATAAACAAATATCTGCTATCCAGAGTGATCAATATTATGCAAATCAAATATAGTTATCAACTCGATGAGTTATGAAAAAAAAAATACGCCATAGTTGACTATGTTAAAATAAGGATGGCTAAAAAAAGAAAAATGCATACAACTTATTGCTAACTATAACAGCACTAATAAAATCAAGGTAACAAACAGACTAAGCAAATATAGAATTAAAAGATCAACTTGTACTTATAATAAGAAAACGCTATTAATTCAGTATCATTCTGTAGCAATCATTGGAGGGATGAGTTCAACACATACCAAACATGTGATTTTCTATGTTTATGCATTACCAGGAACATCCTCTTCTACCATCATATTTATGCCTACGATACAAAATGCAAATGTTCATTAAATAAATTACGCTAATATGTTAACACCCAGAAGTAATAGTCTCAGCAAAAAAAAAATGGGTTATTTTTCTTTTAGAACCCAAAAAACGTTGTCTGAAAGGGATTTGAAAGCAAATTAATCAAATGGTCATGTATGAGTCATATTTTTTGCTTACACCGGAACAAATGTGTCTAAACAACATCAAATATATACACATGCTAAAAACTTGTAACAATATAAAGAACCCACGTGATTAATTTTTAAAAAATAACAACATACATCCGGGTCCACCAAAGACTTAAAGAATGAGGTGACAATAGCTTCGCTGCTTGAAACATGATATCTTGGCTCATTATATGACTCCAAATTATTTTTTTACGTTGACCTTAAATAACATGGATTTTTCATTAAGAACGTTAAGTTTTCTTAAATAATATTCCAAATCAGCACCTTACATAAAAAAACTCCTTCAAAGTTAAGTATAACTCGTGCGATGCACGAAAAAAAAAGAATAGTGAGATTTTAATTATAAAAAAAGAATAGTAAAATTTAATTTAATTATAAAAATATGTTGGTGAGCCGGCCCTCCGAGCCGAGCTCAGTTTGTCATCTCTAACTATTAGCATGTAATAGGTTTTTATATTTATCCTAAAAAAAAGCTCTTATAGTTGCGTCTAGGTTTTTATATTTTATCTCAGAGATGAACTTTCATTTATTACAATTAGATTTACAAAATAATAATAAATAATTTTTTTTTGTAAGGATTTGTGTCGTTAGTATTTAAAATTTTATAAATTTGTATTTACAAAAATTGAAATCTGAATTAGGAATTTAATTATAAAAGAAGAATAGTGAAATTTTAATTTAATTATTAAAACGTGTTGGCAGGCGGTAGGAGTGTTCGCGGTCTGGATTGGATCGGTTTTGGAAGCAAAAATCATCCTATCCAATCCCTTCGGTTTGGCCATATAATCA